AATCCCGACTTTTAAAGTTGCAAGTCAGGAAACTTACCACTGACTTGCCGAGGGACGATTTTTTCAAAAGAACGTATATGTTAGTGAGTTTATGTGATTTACATAAGAAACAAAACTGATTTTAACCTGTAGGTATACATTAGGAAATTTAAATGCGGTTCGTTGCTTTGAATAATTTACTTCTGATACTTCCATGAATCCAATGCAATGACCTCAAATAGCGTTGTTTTCACAAGCAATAAGTTAAATCGTAGATTCAAAACAGTATTCACCTTGAAAAATATGCTGAGGTCATGCAAGAAAGATAAAGCAACTAAGAAATTATCGTTATATTAAGCTAATTTCACAGCACATGAACAGTTTAAAAAGACAATGGCATCCTGCTTGAAATATTATTGTGTAGCTATCTTTAAAACTACCATGGCCGGTGAATGACACGTGCCATATGCTATTATAGTTTTACCTTGTCTCCTTCATTCAATAGATATTTTCATAAATATTCAATGAATTTGATATTTAATGATATAAGTTTTTGCTTGTTTTTTTCTTTCCTGGAACGAGAAATCCACTAAAGCGTAACTAAAAAGTTATAAAAAAAAACGTTACTTAGGTTGTAATCGCTTGTCGTTCTTGGACGATAGAGGGCGTTTATAGACAATGGTCTTTTAGTAGAACTTAAGGCGTGCCTACCTTTTCGTGATAATACTAGGGGTGTCATTTGTTCGATATCTTCTAGCAAGTGTTTTAGCACGCGGCTGTTTTAAACTGAGCTATGACTATTGTGTTTTCAATAATGGGTAACGCTTGCCTGGAGGAGCCACTCCCATGTTGTAGATGCCCTATAACATCTGCCCCCCAGTGGCACAGCGGCATGTTCACAACGCTAGAAACCAGGTTTCGATACCGGTGGTGGGCAGAAAACAGATAGCCCGTTGTATAGCTTTGTGCTTAAACTACCAACAAACAAACTATAAGATCTGCATTTTCCTGGAATATTTTTTTATTTCTAAAATTAAAATATAAAGTTTGAGAGGAAATTCTTGATTTTCATGGCGGATCTCATGTTATGATTGATAAGAATGTGTAAAGTTAAAAAAATATTTACATAATTCGAGGTGTTCGAAATATTAATCTGTAAAACAATAGAATTTTCAAAAACTATTGTATTTGACATATTATAATTGTGCAAGTTAAAGAATAAGGCTGTATTTACAAAATATGTGTATCTATAACTATATTTGTGGGCATATAACACGGACAAGCTTATCAATGTTCTATTAGATACAGCACAATAATATAATTTAGTCTAATAATTCATTTATTAGCTTTCTTTCGTAAACAGGATTGATATTATAAAACAACTTTATAAAAATTACTTACTCAAACGGTATGACATTCTCAAATACCACTGAGCATACTTTGCCTTAACTGTTATATAAACAACCATGATTTAGTATCACGATACCCATTTATTCTCCACAGACACCATACTTTCATTACGTGTGTTCATATATGTAAGCAGTACATTTCTTTACTCTGTATGGTAAACAACCATGATTTAGTATCACGATACCCATTTATTCTCCACAGACACCATACTTTCATTACGTGTGTTCATATATGTAAGCAGTACATTTCTTTACTCTGTATGGTATCTTAAAAATGATTAATGCAACTGAAAATAACAAATTTCCAAGACTTGGACATCATTACGCACATTTCCATCTTTGACCGTATTCTGTCTAATGGCCATCATTACGCACAATGGCCTTACACCGCAATTTCTGTGAAAGACGACGTGTTCAATATTAGGTTATAAGTCTTGAAACATTTTCCACAGACCCTATACTGTATGTGAACGTCAGCTACCTAGACTACATTTAAACAAGGGTGCGTAATCAGGTATGTCAGAGAAGGAAGTAGTATGAGTACCGGTTTCATTCTCCGTATAAAACCTTCTGCATATTTAAATATGTTACATGACGTTTTATCCCGAAGTAGCCATTCCTTACTGGCCATAAAGTACAGGGATTTTAATACTTTCTGTTCGTAGTAACTTGTTAACTTTAATCCACCTTTGTTTTATTGTGCGTTTAAGTTTAAATTTACCTTTATACGAAAACTTTGTGGCAACGAGAAAGCCGATTTTTTTTTTTTTTTTTACATTTTCTGTATCATTTTCGGAAGTCCTTTTCTTGTCATAGTCGTTCATGGGCAAAGCCTTCCAATGTTGCAATAAAATTTCACTTCCCCCTTACAAGGTATTCGTTATACAAACTTGTGTTCCTCTCACCGATATGTTTTGGGAGCAACTGGTGCTCTTTTGGTTTGTGCTTGTTTACAAGAGCAACAACCTTTAGGAATTATCGTTTACACATCTGTCAGTTTGTTTGTTAGTTTTGTTGAATTTCTCGTTAAGTTATCCTAATCTTGAGATGACAGAGTAGAGGGAAGACAACTAGTCAATACCACCTACCATCAACTCTTAGGATATTCTTTACCAAAGAATATTGGGATTGACGGTAACGTTATAACGCCCCAACGACTGAAAGGACGGAGAATCCTGTTCGGTGACAGGATTCGAAACCCTCGAGTCGCAGATTGCGAGTCAAGTGCACTAAATACCAGGCCATACTAAGCCTTACACAACAAACTAGAATGTTTGCGATTTGTTGGTAATCACTTTTTTGAGTGTGTGTTTGTGGGGTGATCCTTGACGATCAATCTATGAGTTTTTTGGGTTTTTTTGGCGATTGTAGCGGCAGATCTGCCTGGGAAAAAATGATATTTATGCGGTTTTCATACTCCCATATAAATGTTGATGTTCCTTTACTAATGGTGTTCATCTTTGAAATTGGTGTATCTTTGTATCTCTTTGGTTTTCTTTTGCACGAATAGCCTTCATCGGAAATGGCTGTGACAAATTATTTTATCTGTTAGCATGCCCTTTGAATACGTTGTAAAGTATATAAGAACTAAATATGTCATCCGTAACGCCCCATATTGCATCTGTAGTGACATGCCACTGCATTAGCATACGCAAATCGATCTTATAAAGTACAATTTACCCTTCGTTTTATCACCGCTTACAATTTTAAACGTTTAGTAAGTCTTGATCCAGAATGTACCTTTTACCCGAAAAGATGGATCGTGAGGAAAGGTGGTGGGAATGAAGGGATACTCGAAATTGGGAAATGTCAAGACTGTTAGTGGTTAGAATACTGGTCTCAATATTAACTGCATCTACGTTTTTTTGCATTTCATTAATCACAAAATAGGTGATGTATAACATTTTTATTCGATTAACATAGCATAAAACATAGGATACGCAAGACAATAGTTGCAGAATTTGGTTTTTCTAAACTGTATTATGTAATATCCATAATAGGTACATACATTCTTTGTCAATTACATGCTTATCTATTCTACAAATCATTTTTAAAGCAGAAAACTGTAGGTATGCTACCATAGATCATGCGTCGTCATGACTACAGTCTATAAACAATTGGCCTTCTAACGGTGGTTCTTTAGAAGTCACGATTTTCCTGTAATTAAACACATATCTAAAGAATGTGGTTAGGTCGATACATGAATCTCACTTTCAGAACGTTGCAAATTTAAAGGACAAAATGTTAATTTTTATTCAGATTTTGAGAAGAAAGTTCTGCAGATGAAAGCGTGTATGGCATGAAAATATTTCATTTGTACGTAAATGTTACGTTTTTAGAAGAGAAGAAAATTAATTATGCTAAAATTTAACATTTAAAAATGCTTTGGAATAATTTTCTTATTTATTTCTTCCAGGAAAAATTCTGTAATGATAATTGTTGAAATCGGTCGTCGGTTAGCGTACCGAGCTGAGGATTGAGGGATCGAGACGTGATCCTGGTCCGCATTTTCAACTGGGGTGTATATTATAAAAATGACAGTCAGTCCCGTCATTTGTTTTTTTATATTTCGACAAAACCCTTGTATGGAGGGGGTACTGCAGTAAGACTGCCTTCCATGCGATTAGTAGCTCAAAATTAGGGACAGCTGTACCTGAACTCCGGCCGTTTAACATACGTGCGCATAAGATGCTGTTAGAATTTCTATAGTAGTTCTGTAGACCTTCCGTAGGGCATGAGAAACATTAACATTGCTGCTTCGGGTCATATGTTGTGTAAGAGCGTGTGCACAAACGCTAAAAAGTGAAACAAGTAAAATAAGCAAATATTATCTGTATACGATATACATACAGAAGTAACAACTGAAGAGTGCCTGGCATAGCCTGATAGCTAGAGTGATCGACTCGGAATCTGCGGGTATGAATTCTGTCAGCTGTGGGGGCGTTATATGTGACGGCCAATCCCACTATTCGTCAGTAGCCCAAGAGTTGGCGGTGGGTGGTATTGACTAGCTTCGTTCCCTCTAGTCTATTACTTCTAAAGTAATGAATGGTAGCACATATAACCCTCATGTAACAAAACAAACGAACAACTGACACACACACACACACACACCTATATCTAATGTATGTTGTATTGTGCACTGTTTATACATGTTTATTTCACATGAAAAATGAGTAACTTACCCAATATTTTGGATAGTTCTTTATTTTGAGCTTCGTAACGGGCACAAACACGAAATTACTCATTATTATGCAACACGTGGGCTCCATCGACAGTAAACAGTATGCACAACAAGTCGTTAACTTGAGGATTGAGATACTAATCAAAATATTCTTTACAATTACGTTTTATCAGGCCCAATAAATGTCAAGCCAGAACGTTTCTGGAGCTTGTTGCTTACATGTTAGAGGATAATACATTGTTTAGCTGTAAAACACATATATATATATATATATATGTGTGTGTGTGTGTGTAATCGTATTCATAACTTTTCCAGATGTTTGTGTGACTCTATTTAAAACATATAAAACGTTTTTGATGACCCTTGTGTTTTGAATTTATATCTGGGCGAGTTTTATTAACAAGTATTTTAACTATTTTATTGTCCAGGAGAAAAACCGTTTAAGTGTGAGTTCGAGGGGTGTGACCGGAGGTTTGCTAACAGTTCCGACCGGAAGAAACATTCTCACGTGCATACTAGTGACAAACCATACAACTGTAAGATACGAGGCTGCGACAAAAGTTACACTCACCCGAGCTCTCTACGGAAACACATGAAAGTACACGGAAAGTCTCCGCCGCCTCCTGGTGCAGCGCCAGGTTCCACAGGCAGCAACAGCTCCATGTCTGACTACGACAGCGACACGCCGCCTTGTACCACTACTAATGGTAGCAGCGGTAACGGCAACGCGCTGATCGGGACACGGTCTACCTGCCCAGCAGGCCACACGGCGTTACCCTTAACTAACCCTGGACATGGAGGAGGAGGCGGCCATCCAACTAACTTGAGTGAATGGTACGTTTGTCAGTCTACAGCCGGTATGCCCACTCCTCCTAGTAATGAACACTCGCCAGTGGTAGGAGTGACCCACCATCTACACGGGTCTTCATCCTACTGACTTAGAGTTTATTCATACAAGACTTTATAATTGTACAAAAACGAAGTAACCAAATGTTCGTATGGATGGATTTTTACTAACCACTGTGTAACTGAACAGAGGTAAGCCTGGTATGTGTAGATATTAAATTGGACCCTTTGTGACTAAAATTCTCTAAGTGACCATGTCCACTTCTTCCACCTACGGTCATTATAAATGTAAAGCTTCCCATATGTATATTTTTATTCTGAGCCTCAGTTTAAACGTCACAGGTGGTCATCTGCAGCGTAAAAAGCTGAACTTTGTATAGAGCTTAGTGGTATGTCGAAATAAGCAGTATTCGTGGTTTTTAAAGGAGTCCGTGTTAGTTTCTTGTAAGATAATTTGATGAAGTGGCTTACAGTACATTACATTAGAAGAATATGGGTACACACATACATGTGTAACTATATGTTTTATTTACGCTTTACCAATAGCCTCCGTAGAGTCAATGGTCAACCATATCTTTCAAAAGATCAGAAAAAAGTCACTACTCCAACCGATTGTCAACAATGAATAGACCTGAGTAAACTGACAGGGTGCTTCAAATGTATTTCACCGTGGAACAGCTAGGACTTGGGATATGGAAGAACTCATCCTGTTGTTGTTTAAGGAATCTGCTATTAGTTCTTTAAAATCATATTGACAGTTTAACAAAGCTATGATAGAGTGTGCACATTGTCAAAGGCGTTTTTGCTTTGTAGTCGAGAAGAAGTGATTGGTATAAAAAATAACGTGGTTTATATATATGTAATAACGCTAAGCTGGTGTTCAATTTATGGTTTATATATATATAATACCGCTAAGCTGGTGTTAAATTTATTTCTAAAGCTTACTTTAAAAATAACTGCTTATCGGAAAAGGTAACACTACAAAGCAATAACGCCTTCAAATGTTCTTTTATGTATCAAAATTGGACAGTGTTGATAAATGTATAATGATAGACTAAACTTGGTAATGGGATAGTTCATTGTTTTAGGCATTATATACTTTTATTTTATTTATGGATAATAAGTTTGATATCTTATTATTGATCTCTTCATTTCATCCTAGAAAAACGTATTGTTGTAAAAAAAAGTTACTTCAAATTTTTTGTTATGTTTCGTGCCAAAAAAAAAGATTTTTCCTAGTGTAAAAATGTATGTTTTCTGGTGTATATTTTTGCAAAAAAAAAGATTTATTCAACACAAAATGCAATGATTGGTAGAAATGATGTACGTGTAATACCTTAAATTTGATGGATTTGTCTGAAAAGTAGTCTCATTGACGATAATAAGATATGATCTAAGGGATCCCGGTTTTACTAAAAACCAAAGCATCGCTTAAGTATCCTTTCCACTAAAACGTTTACAATAGATTCTGAGAGGCAGAAAGTTTATTGACGTGGGGTTGGTGAGAACTGTCCAGCGAGAGTGGGACACTGGCCACGAAACTTTATAACACATATGAAAAAGAGGCACAGAAAATATTACAGGTTAAAAATCTTAACACACGCTACTTAAGCCGTCTACAATGTTGCGAAAGAGATTGTCTGTTTTGTATTTATAATCAAACGATAAAAAAAATGTTTAAGTAGAGAAAAATTAGTAAAAATGCTGTGGTAATGTTTGTTCCTCGGGAAGCGAAACACTGAGGTAAAAAAGTTGTTGGGAGGCTGATTAAATCACTAACTTTGAGTTACAATAGCTTTCTAAATCGTTTCGCTTTGTTTTAAAAAGCAAATGCAGAAATATATGGTATTTGCGTACAATAACTTAGTGTGAAACGTACAAAGAAGATAAATATATGGCATCTGCGTACAATAACTTAGTGTGAAACATACAAAGCAGATAAATATATGGCATTTGCGTACAATAATTTAGTGTGAAACGTATAATGGAACATAATTCACTACAGAGAATCTAGATAACTCTCCTTGTATCATGTCTCACTACAATATTTTGTTTTAACTCATAGTCACCTAGTTTCGAACTACAGATTTATTAACGTCATATTTTAACTCCCTTTATCTATTTTTGTTCAGGTCAAAATTCAAACCATACAAGATTAGGTTACACTTATATGACTGGGCATTTTTTTAAATATTAATGTTATGTAAATATCATTTAGGCATAATGAACGATTCACTCGTGGTGCTAAACTACGCGTTAGATGCCAGTTTACTAAGCCTCAGCACAAATTATGTTATTTGTAATTTGTTTAACTTTGGAACGCGATTTTTTATGTTAGTATATATATATATACAAAAATCTAATCTTATTATCTGGATATGACAAAAAGTTTTAAAACTGGAAAGTTTGTAAAAATGTTCAATAAACTAAAAATAAAGAATCAAGTGAAATGATTACACGTTTAGCTCGTGTACTTTGCAGATCTTCGATGTTCTATTTTTGTAGTTTTCCTCACCTGCTTAGAAGATATTGGGTTCTAACACATTTCGGCGTGTGTTTTGACATAGCAAGGATAAGATCGTTTGTTTATACCTGTATCTTGTACTGAGAGAGCTGTATTATCAGATAACGTTTCCTTCACAACACACTTATACATTGACAGCAAATATCTTGTAGTAGCACTACGTTTTCCATACACATACAGCCTCTTGACTGACTGTTGTGACGGTTGGATTGAGGCCAAGTTAAAGATAGCTTCACCTCGTCCCACACTGCTTCATTTGCCCACCAGATGGTGGTCTTTAAGAAGGGTGGAGGTGTGAATCTCCCCATGTGTGTGTTTATTGTGTGTAGACAGAGAAATGATTGGGCTTTCATCAACAACGAACCCTGGAGTCATCAATCAGAGAAAGTAAACCATAACAAAGACCCGAAACGGTGAAACTCTACTCAAGGCTGTCGCATTTTGTTTATTGACTCGCCGCATACTTGTCTTTTTAGGTTTCTGAACTTGAGATGTACCTATCTCACTTCCTAAGAAGTTCGTTATTATTAACTTAAATCCAAAGAAATAAAAGTTAACACCGTGGAAACGTACAATATCAAATTTATTTTCAGTGCAAATATAATTTCCTAACACGTTCAAGGAAATAAGTATTGATTCCGAGAGTTTTTTTTTTAAATATATTTTCACCATTCGACAAACTGGTTAAGTAAAACTACATATCTTAAACAAATATCCTTAAACCACAAACACATAACAAGCTGCTTTCAAATGATGGTAATCAAGATTCAAACGACTTGTAGTAGGATCATCCTGACGTTCGAAAGCTTTCACACATACCTTCTATTATAGGAGTCGTGTTTAAAGCTTGTTGTATAAATGATGTTCTCTTCACTGGCATGCTATAAATCGCTCAGAATGGTTAGAACGATGTAGTTAGTGTGTTTCCTCGTTTCACCGAAGAATTTAGGTCTGTATTTTATGACGCGCAAAAAACGGGGTCTCATCTGCTTTAGGAATTCATAGTCGTCTAATTAGGTAAAGTTGTATTCTAGAAATAATTAATCCAATTCATTATCTCAATTAAAATGGTTGATCAATTTTGTTTTTTAGTGTTAACTTATTGAGTGCTACTCTTATTTCCACGTCGAACCAGTAATGGCGCCAGCATGGTCGGCCCTAATGGTGTAACTAACATTAAAGTCGTCGTAACTAGAGTCATCTATAATAAAATGGGCTACGAGTAAAAATTTTCCACTCAAGATCATATGCTAAATGAAGATAGATACATTGGATTTGGTCAATGGTATAGACCCCCTGATTGTGTGTTTAATTCCCCAATGTTAATTAAGTAAGCCCTTTACTAGCTACAGAAACTTTGTTGACTTAACGACCAAGCGTTGCCTGCATACATTTCAGATTTTATGGTTAGTCTGCTGTGAAAATAGGAAGAGCAAAATACAGAGTGAAAAGTAAGTAAATAAACTTGTGCGTGGTAAACGTTTTTAAAGATATAAGCACGAAGGGGACCCAAAGTGTGATAAAAATTAACAATTTGTGCTGGCTACAAATTAGTGCAACCATAGGTTTCTGATTCTTTTGTTTATCTTATAAGCTATTTTTAGCTTAAAGTGAGATTTTATTGTTCTTATATCTAATATATAAAGCTGAGTTTGTGTCTGTTTGTTCGCACCTTTTAGCAATTTCTTCGTTATATGTTTCCACATTTCTTGATCAATCAGCACCCAACTTGACACAGTGATACAGGATGGCAACTAGAAGGTCACCAGAGAAGGGTTATACCCCCAATCTAATTTCGTATTCATAGAATTCTTGAAAATGTATGTCTTTATTTTCAGTACTGATACCTTTATGCATTTTTATTGAACTTTCAATGTTTATTATGGTAAGAAAAAAAAATAGAAGCACAATTTCCTATCCTTTGTTACAAACGAGTTTTTATTTCACCCGTCCAACGGACGGCTACTCCAGCTAGTAAATAATAAATAAATAGAAGGAAATAATGGGTAGAAATATAATATACGTCACTGATCCCAAAGGTTATATCCATTTCTTTCTTGCACACTTTTTGCTCTGTCTTTCTCTCTCTGACTTCTGAACAAAGATAATACAACAATACAAAATTGTTGTCGTTTGTAACATGAAATAACCGTATTTTCTACCGTTAATTGTGTACACAATATCAATGTTTCTAATTCTGCGAGATTATTTGGTAATTTCCTAGTCAAAAAGTGTTAATTCACTTATTACTTTCAATAGCATCTGATTATAAAATAGCTCAAAAATACATTTTTTTCAGGTACAAATGTTTACCTATAACCAACATATTGGTTATTTGAAATATAAACTAAAAACCGGGTTTCGATACTCGTGGTGGGCAGAACACAGGTAGCCCATCGTGTAACTTTGTACATAACTACAAACAACCAAACATGAAATATAAATATGACGTGGCACCATTTTTGACAAACTATCTTAAAATAATTTGGAGTAATTCACACGAACTTTTATCGATTGTACATAGTAAAACTTTTATTTTATCACAAAGTTTCACCATGTTTACCTGGCATCATCAGGTGGGATTCAAGAACTGAGGCTAACAGAATTTAATTTCAAAAAGGATAACGTGAGAATCTGTAACAATACTAATCTACAAGCAAACGACTAACCAACTGTAAACAATATGGTAATTTATCAATGAACTGTCAAATTTAGGTATAATAAATAAAACTTTTAGGCCTCACTCTAAGTATTGAAATTCGTTCTATATACAAGAAAGAAGGGAATTAAAATAAATATAAATGAACACCTTTGTATTTGTTAAGAATACAGTTTTTCATTAATTGAGCTTATTTTATTTTTCATCTATTAATGTTATCCTCTCTGGTGAGGATTTTTACCTTAGAAAAATCAAAAGAATGATTGTTCCAACACATGTGGTGAAAAATATGAGATAGAGATTTGAAATGTTCACGTAAACGAGTAGTATGTTGTCTGTTTGTCTCACTAATATAACAGCTTTTGTAATCCGTACATTCAGTTACATATCATTATCTATATACTTTATGGATAGCAGTTGGTTAATAAAAGTTTTACTATGTACAACCGATAAAAAACTCGTGTGAATTTTAAAAGCATGTTTCTTTCTAATATTTGATTTGGAGTAATCTTTCTCAGGTAACGAATTACACGCATTTTTTACCTTTCCTCATTTCCTATGGCCAACTCAGTGTTAACTGATTGTGACTTGAGTTTGATATCCTTCAAATGATTTGTTCAGGAGAACGCCATCACTCTAGTAAAAAACTTTACTTAAATAATGAAAATCATTGTTAAGCTACCGAAACATCATGTTTTTACTTTGTTGTGTTAGTCTGAACCGAAAACATTGTTGCCTTATAACTGATCGGCTATAGGTATGTCTTTATATAAGGGAAATAATTTTGTAAATATATTACCGCTCGAAGAAACTTTGTTTCTACAAAGAGAACTGAAATGTCCATTGTATCGTTGACTTGTGTATTGTAATTAATAGCATTGTGTACATAATGGTGTAAATTTTAATAAAATAAAATTTAGAATGAATTTTTAGACTACTCGTGTATTTTGAA